TGGCGTAATACTAGTCACGGACCTCGCTGATGCAACAGTATGTTATATTAATTGATCTGTGAAAGTGAAACAGCAGCTTTATTAAAATCCTATGGACAGTAAGATTGTCATTAAAATAATGGATTTAACATAATTATATCTATAAATTGATGATGTAATCATATGTGGAAGTATAGTAACAGTTACTATCCACCCCTGTAAAACTCGTGTAAGATAAAACCATAAAGTAATAAGAGCCAGAACAAAATATTTTGTCAAGTTATATGGATAGCATAAAGTCAAACTAGTGAAACATTAAATTTTAAATCATTGCATGATATTTAAATAAACATATTTTTCTGAAAGATTTACATATAAATGGTCAGGAAATGTAATGAAATATAGAACTAATGCATTAGTGTTTTAAACCAATTATATTAAATCTAGCCATGCTGAGAGATCTTGATACATGTTGTGGACGTCATTGTCTCTGACGTCATGGGTAACTGTCATGGCGACCTAGCAATGTGCTCTCTAGTACCATTTCGTGGAACTATTACGTAATTGTCTCTGACGTCATGTCCGCATGTCATGGTGGCCTAGCAAAGCATACTCTCTGATGAAATCATTGTCTCTACCTCTTCACTCCTCCCGTCCCTATTGCTTGAAATCGACACACATGTAGCACCCTCTAGCGACAGGCAATTTCCACCTCTTAAGTGAGGGAGTAGCTACTGACGTTATTGTTAATAATGACTAGAAAAATTGGCCTTTCTAGTAAGTAAACTTTGGCCTGACTAGCAAGTAAACGTTAATTCTCACATACATTTAAACACAGCATGCTTAATTTACTTAACATTTTTGTGTGTTTAGTACTATATATATGTGTGTGTGCGTGTATGATGATGTTAAATTCTTATTTTATGTTTAGTACTATACATATAATGAATTACGTAAGGAAAAAGTAGGTTTTTATGATAATATTTCAAACAAATCTTATCATTTAGGTAAAATCGAGCCTTGAAATAATTATTAGGGTTTCTAGAACTTGTTAATAACGTCACATATAAGCCAAGTCATAGAAGCTAGGGAAAATTCTTAAACCTATGTATCGTACCTGTTATCTAAACTTAATAGGAGCAAATATGTATATAACTTTGTGTGAATCTTTATCGAAAAACCAATCACCTTGCTATGAAATATTAGAAACGAAATGAAAATACGAGAAATATTGAACATTCCAATATTTTTTTTTGCCCCCCAGTGGCACAGCGATATGTCTGCGGACTTACAATGCTAGAATCCGGGTTTCGATACCCGTGGTGGGCAGAACACAGATAGCCCATTGCGTAGCTTTGTGCTTAATTACAAACAAGCAAACTAATCTTTTTCACCTAGAAATAAATGTAAGCTAAGCCTAATTAAAGCTGTAGGAATTTAGTCTGTTCTACCCCTAACTTGAACAGAAATTGTAAGATAAATTACAGATGGTTTAACACCGGGCAAAACTAGGAAGAACAAATATTGCAAAATAGCGTTTTAAGGGTTTTCTAATACTGTTACCAAATTTAGCGTAAAACATAAGGATATATAACGGTCACAGAAAATTGTTTTTAGCCTAAACTGTTGCCCGTTTAAATAGCAATGTTCCCTGGCATGTACCCTTAGGACCGCCACAAGGAGTGACATAGAGAGTTGATGTTCGGAGCTGATCCCCATATTCCACCCCAGGGACCCCTATACGCTTCTTAAGCTATTCTACTGATCTCAATCAAACCTGGCATGCACCTTTTCGGCCCATGGGGAGTCACATATGGTGGATCGGCTTTCCAGAAAGTTTCTATTATTTACTTAGCTACGAAGAAGTTTCTCTTTAACAAACATTTATAGAACAAGTATGACTTGTTAGTAATATCCTTATTTTGTCTGTTTTTACTCCAGTGTAAATGTTAACTGTACAAGTATAATGTTTCAAACGTCAATAGTATGCAATAGTATGCTTATAGGTTTCGTTGTGAACTATGTAGCACATCATACTTGTTTTAATAAAACTGTACAAGTATAATGTTTCAAACGTCAATAGTATGCTTATAGGTTTCGTTGTGAACTATGTAGCACATCATACTTGTTTTAATAAATCTGTACAAGTATAACGTTTCAAACGTCAATAGCATGCAATAGTGTATTGCTTATATGTTTCGTTGTGAACTATATAGCACATCACACTTGTTTTAATTATGTAAAATAATATTATTCCACTACCGTTGTAGCACGAAAACAAGCAAATTCTAGAAACGCCTTTAACAGAAGGGTCAGGTACCGTCAGTCAAAAATCGCTGGATATTGAAGTCAACAAACCAGAAGATCCAGAGTCGTCCAAAAAGGTCAGCTCAAAGGGTTATAAGGTCAGCCGTGTTAATGTGGGTTTTTCGTCCGCTTTGGTTTCGAAGACTGAGTAAATTCTATGTAGTATACCACATTTAATCGCCCATATTTTATGGACACAGTAATGTGCTGTTATTACCTTTTATATAAACCCTTTAACTGTGTGATAGTTTGTTTTGAATTTAATAATTCATGATCATTTTTAAACTTTATTATTATTAAAGATTCGTGGTTATTATTGGCTCTAATACTCTTTGGTTGAGTCAATATTACAGTTTTTTACTATAACATCTTATGTTGTGTTTTTTGTACTTGTTCTGCTATGGCCGAATTTTCAGTTCTTTCATGTTTTCCACATTCTTTATGTTCTACGAAACGATATTTTGAATACGTTTTGTCTGTCCTATATCAACACTTCCACATTGACATTCAATTTTATAAATTCCATCTTTTTCCATTAACTGTATATTATCTTTAATATTGCCTAAAATTTGTTTTATCTTATCCATCAGAGTAAAATATTTGTTCATTTTTTAAACATTTTGATTAAAAAATAGCTAAACCTGAAACATATAGCAAAACTAAGCATTTTTTTATTTTATCGCAACTGAATTTTAAGGTAATACCTTGAACTATTGTTAAAAAACGTGAAAATTATTTTCCTGTCTTTTATTTACTACTTAGGTAGGCAGGTGTGTATTAGTGGTTATCAAAACTTTGTGTAGGTTTACGAAAAATTCCGAGAACAACTACAACTGATATCAATTCACAGTGGAATGACATGTATCAGAAATACATTTTGATGTCATTTGGCGTTTTGTAGATAGTTTGATTTATTCTTCATCGGGGTTCGATCCATGTTTTGGACCAGGGAGGGCCAGGTTCAGCGTTAACCTCTTCCTCCCTCTCAGGAATTGTTATTTTGTTTGCGATGTTACTGAATCCTAGGTAATAATCCTTGTTACTTTGTTGCTTTACCCACAGCATGTTAAGTTTTGTCCATTGTCTGCAGTTTTAATTAATATACCCTTTTCATGCCATGTCCAATTCACTGGGTAGTATCAACTCGTATATTTTCACTAGCTTCACTTATGTATTATCGCACTATTAGTCCGTGTTAACAATACAGTTTTACCTAGCAGTGATACACACACATAATCTTATTTTTACATATAAAACCCTTTTCAAGTTGAGCTACGTTTGTGTCTAGGATTCAGTTATTCTAGCACTGTTTGACTTGTAAGATTCTTATTTATGATGTTCAGAGGGGAGAGGTACTTAGGGCTTGGTTCATCACGTATTATATAACCCTATAGTTTGCTCATCAGTTAATTTTTATTACTATTTTTCTTATAATATTGAAGCGAGTTATCCAGAATTTTGTCTGATAGAGTTGGCATGATTAAATAGTTGTGTAGAAATTCTGAATTTGTTGATCGTGGGACTCTATATGCTTTCGTTCAAATATAGTTTTGTATTTGCTAGCTTGTTGATATGTGTATTTAATACATTTATCCATGTTATACAGGCATATTGTACGACTGATCTTATGCATGTTCTGTAAATTTTTAATATGTTTTCTGGTGAAGCTCCTTGTTTGTTGCCAGTCAGGCTCCTAGGGTAACTCGCTCTTTTCCAAATTCTGGTTTATATGCTATTAATGTTTGGTATTTAATTTTGAGTCAAAAATAATCGGTAAGAATTTTGCTGATGTTGCTACCTGTAAGAGAGTCCCGTCTATATATAACCGTTGTATTAATTTGCTTTTTTTTGTACGATTTTGTAAATAATATGACTTGTGTTTTGTGCACATTAGTTTTAATTTTCCACTTATTGCAGTACAACTCTATTTCGTTTATTAGTTGTTGTATATTCTATGTTGCTGTTGTTGGGTTTGGGGCATTCTTCCAGATTGCAACATCATCTGCGAACTGTGAACAAATGTATGGTTTTGGGTCTTTGAGAGGCATATTGCTGACAAAAACTGATAAAACAGGGTAGGGCTAAGTACTCCTCCTTGAGATACAACCGCCTCCAGAGTTCAGCACTCGGAGTAGGTGCCTTCAACATTTACTCTGATGCTCCTATCTTCCAGGAAGTTAGAAACCCAGTGAATAATTTCTATGGGAAGTTCCAATTTGGACACTTTGTATCTGAGTCCATTGTGTCATACTTTATTGAATACTTTTTCAACACCTAGGAAGCATGTGACTGTACATTGTTTTTTTATTAAAACAGTGCATTATTTCTTCCGTTAATCCTATGAGATGATCTGTCATTTGTCTTGCTTTTCAGAAGCCATTTTGTGTTTCGAGGACTACTGATTTAGTTTCAAGGTAGTTTATGAGTCTATTATTTATAATTTTTTCGAGTAGTTTTCCTAGATTGCTTATTAGACTTACGGGTCTGTAGTTTTCGGAGTTATTCGCTGATTTTCCTTTCTTCTGGAGCATAAGAACATCGGGCTGTTTCCAAGCGGTTGGTAGGTATTCTGTTTTTAGAAATAAGTTATTCAAAGATGTGAAATGTTCTACTAATTTCAGTTGGCCTTTCTTGAGTAATAAATTTTGAATTTTGTCTTGTCCTGGTGCTTTGTTTTTCAAAGTTTTATGTTTTCTTGTACTTCTGTTACTGTGATGGGTCTGATAAGTTGTTTTGTGGTGTAGTCGTGTTCCGCACCGTTGTTATGTTATTGTGTTCAGTGTCCTTAGTGAAGTGTGGTGTATATATACTGCGATTGGTTGGGATGTAATCATTTACTATGTTAATGAAGTGGTTTTTCATATTTAAATCGTCTGGAGTTTTTGGAGTTGTTATTTAAAGGCGTGTGCTTTCTGATTATTCATGTATGCTAGTTTATTACTATGTTTAAGTGTAGGGTAGGTGGTGGATACTGTTTGTTTGTTTTTGAATTTCGCGCAAAGGTACGCGAGAGCTATCTGAGCTAGCCGTCCTTAATCTAGTATTGATAGACTAGAGAAAAGGCATCTAGTCAATACCACCCACCGCCAACTCTTTGGTTACTCCTATAACAACGAATAGTAGGATTGACCGTCACATTATAATGTCTCTACAACTGAAAGGGCGAGCATGTTCGGTGACAGGGATTCGAACCCGCAACCCGCAGACATTTATGGTTGTCTCAACTATTATCAGTTAAAGAAGACCAAACCAGTTACAATGAATCCACATCAAGCTACTGTTACCGCCGCTAATCACAGTTTGGGATGACACAGTCACATTTATACCTTCTGTTGTCGCTAAACACAGGCTAGAATTGCAGAACCAACAGTTCTACGAGGTGGTTTTTATTGTTATTTTATTCGAATTTCGAAGTTCAACTGATGATAACCACCAGTTAGATCTGAAATGAATGTGCTGATCTGCAGTCCTGAACTTTTATTAAAGTCACGTTTGAGTATATTTACTTTATATGTTTCAAAGCTCACAGGGAAACATTATTTTGCAAAAATATATGACTTGTATAAAACGTTTGTGTTTATTTCAATAAAGAAGATTTATTCTAATTATTCACGTACTTTTATAGGATAAAAAATCACAAAGAATAGCTACATCTCTAAAAGAAGGTTCAGGTAACGCCAAAGAAGAATCTCTAGAACCCGAAATTAACAAACCAAGAAATCCAGAACCATCGATAAAGGTAAGATCAGTTAGTAACACAAATGACTGTGGTAATATCTGTTTTTCATATGCATTGTCATAGACGATTAGTGAATTCTAAATTGTTCATACTTCATGATTAAATTAATTTTAGGAATAGAATACTAATGAATTTCTACTGAAGTAACAATATATTAAAATAAAATATTTCAAATTTTTAAATGTTATAAACAAGAAGAAAATGTATTTAACAGGCACCTAGATAGCAAGTTAAACAGAAAGATCAACGCTTGGTTTATCGAAAAGTGAATAAGTAAATGAAACGGACAAAAGATCACAATTTATCATATACATAGCACTAAAATAATAAAGGAAAATAAAGTAATAATGTTCGAATCGTTTTAAAATCACATTTTTTTGTTATTGTTGGCTTTAGAGAATTGGCTATAGTAAATCATCATATATATATATATTACAATGTTAAAGTCAGTAAAACTTTTAAGGTTGTGAATAATTGGTATTGATGAGAATGTTTAAATCACCTGAAATTTTTTTGGTTTAGAATCATACGGCTATTTGTTTCACTTACGCAGCTTTATAGCTTTATGTGTTTTTCAGTTTGGATGATTTAGTCGAAATTAATTTGTACTTTATTTTTTATTGAGCATAGACGTATAGATAAGTCAAGTCAATATATTTATCAAGCAGGAAAAGCTTTGCTTGATGTTTTACAATATTTGGTTTTTAACAACGTACCACTGGTCCATCAATCCTTGTAAGACATATTTGACTGATTTTATTTTGTACCCAATTTTTATTTTCGTTATCTACGTAACTTTTACTGAGGATAAAACGTAAATTGATTACAATCCAAATTATGAAACTTTTTAAGTTACTTAAATGGTTGACTTAATCTATGAAAAAAACAGTAAATATATATATATATATATAATGTGCCCATGTTGTTAACCAAAAGGCTAAACACTTAAATCTTTTAACTCTTTATAATAAAAATAACAACATCACATTAAAGTTTCATTCAAAAAGTCTTCTTCAAGTCCAGATTTATAATATTTTCATAAAGTATGTACTTTTATATATTTCTTTCACAGTGTTTCCAGCCTAATGATTTTATTTTATTTTACATTTTAATGTTTCACTTTTTCATTTTCATTTTTCACACGGTTCTCTTATCCACGTTCAATCACAAGTCTTCATCTAGTGTCAGATAACTTTCTTCTCATGATATCAGAAATGAGATCCTAATTATTACCATGGCTTTTCGCAATAATTCACTTGTTAACTTTGTATGAGGAAATGCAAAAAATTTCCTTTTATGTCAAACCTTTCTAACTCTCTTTGTCTGCAGTCTTCAACGTTTAGCTTGCTGGGAGTGAAAGAGGTGAGATCAAATGGTATTGTATAGTGATCTTGTGTAGCATAATGTCTATCGATTTCTTCTTGATTTTAACGTAATAATTAACTGCCTGGTTAACTTCCGATCTAAAAAGAAAACTTTGATGTGATGTTTTCTTTTCTGAAAAAAATAACAAGCTGACAACAGAAGATTATTTAAATTTATCCGATGTCAAACTGGTCTATTATTTGAAGAAACAGTTTTCTAGTATTTAAACTTAAAGTATATAAATTGTTAAAATTAAATATGCACAATAATAATCATTGAGAGCTCAACAGAGAACATATATAAATCAATAATCGAGTTATTTATAAAAACCTTTCTTTTTCAGATAATTTTAAATCCGATATGTTTTCTCTCTTGTATTTTGTGTTTTTGCACTTTGAACCATAAAATTTAACTTTTAAGTCAATAAGAGGTCTGTTGAACAATATTTAAGATAAAAAAGGTTTTTAACTGAGACAGATATCAAGGTTTGCCGAATAGTAATTAAATGTTAAAGATACACATATATATATTATCTGTCTAGGTTTTAATTTTTCAATAAATTCATTTTCTTTCGAAGGAAGTGAGTATATACATGCTTTGTATTCTATAATATACCACTGATCCATTAAGCCATAGACTAGGGATCCTGCAATATGCCACTAAAAATAACTCTATGTTAAAAGTTTTAATAACAGTTTTCCTTTGGGGATGTTGTTTTGTACCATTTAATGGTTTCTGTAAGTCTTATTAGTGTTTGTGTTGTTTTACTCTTTACTAACTTCACTAACATGTAAAATCTTGAATAACAAAATCAAGGCTATTTTCTCAGAAAGACACGTAATCTTAAAAATATTTTGGATATAGTCTGAAAGACTGCTCTCTAGATTATACAGTACACAGTATCCAAACAATAGCACGACTCCCCAACCGTAAAAAAATAATGACATTTACCCCAAAACTCTTATCAACATTATATTTTACATTTAGTAATTTACTGCTGTTTAAAGTATATAACTTTTGAACATTTCTTCGGTCAATTATGATTCTATAATTATATTTAATTAATCGTCGATAATTAACATCTTATTTGTCTTTTAAGGGGCGATATAACACAACTGTCGACCTGAAAACAGGACATAAATGTGCCTGAACATTAATCTTAGAAATTATTTTCCTGTTCTTACTAACGGCATATTGGTAAACACACAGAAATATAAAACGTGTATAAAGTAAACCAGTTCCACACAACTAAAGTATGTAATCTGTGTTGCACAAAAACATAGAACCTAAAGGCTATGGATATGTGATAGAAATATAAAAAATGTATAAAATTAAATATTCATAGAACGTTCATGCAAAAAAGCACCTTAAACAGTAAAGATTCAGTTCAAATAACTTGATGAAAAGTGTAAACCTAGTGTTTGGTTTGATTGACAAAATTTATAGTATAAAGGTATTAAACTAATATGAGAATCAATATCTTAATGTTGTGCAGTTATATCTATACTATGACATGTCAAAATTTTGTCTGCAGAACAAAAGCTAAGTTTAATCGTACTAATATGGGGAAGATGTAACTGCAAAATTAATGTTAGTTTTTTAATACAAACACTAGTAACTTTTTAAAAATTTTGTTTCAGTGTTTACAACTTAAACATCGTGGAAAGAAAACGAAGAAGTCTTATAAAAAGCCTGCCTCAGTAGAATCAACTACTGACAGTGAAATTTTCAGTAAGGAACCCGCCTCCGTAGAAGAACCATCTACTGACAATGAAATATTTATCAAGGAGCCTACCTTAATAAAAGCAGCTACTGAAAGTGGAATGGGTAGTACGTTGTTTAACTGAAGCATTTAACTGTATTCTTTCTGAAGTCAAGAGTAAAGCGTATTTATGTTTAAATGTATAGTCTTTAAGGTGTAAACAGAAGCTTATGAACTTTGATAAACTACTTTTGTCGTAAACAGATACGGCTTTTTGCCTAGTCCTAACAAAAAACTAGAATAAGCACAGATTTTAGTATTATGGATTAGTTACATAAAAGAGCTAACTAGTCAACAACCCACAAGCTTAATGGTTTAGAAAATATGATTTTGCTTTGAATTTTGTGTTATTTCTTAAATAAAAAAATAAAACGTGTTTTGCTGCAATCGATAAGCTCTTCTAAAGTATTATAAAACATTTCTTTTAAATGTGCTAGATTATCCACTAGAAACTAACTACTATTACTAGTGTTAGTATAATAAGGAAACAAAGAACAAGAAAAAACTATTTCGTTTAGTCCTCTTATTTAATGAAACAAAAAGGTTGGTTACCAAGAATATGCTATGACCACGTGAAACATCATGTTAATTCTGATTGTTTTGACGATCATGATTGACAATTGTAAGTTAGAAGCCAGCGCATTTTGGGTGCGAGGCTACTTTTATGAATGTTATGTGGTGTAGGAAGGTAATCTAACTTAAGGAAATCATCACTTTAAATTACTAAGTTATAGATGTTCTACAATTTCTTGGATATGAGTTTTTCCACTTCGGTCAGTTCTAGTCTGTTTTCAAAAGTAGAAACACCAACATAGAAGTTATCGTCTCCCTTCCTTTTGTACCATTTTCGTTTAACTTATTTTATTTTAAGTTACAGCACGTTTCCTATAATTCATTCATTTTTATTTTAATTGATTCAGTTTCCCTTAGCTTCATTAATAAATTTAGATATTTTACATTATTTTCATTTAGTTAATTTGATTTCGTTGTATATTCCATATTGCTACCCTATGGAGGGAGACGTATGTCCTATGTTTCTTTCTATTTCTCCTTTCTTCTTCCTCCCAATAGTAACAATTGTACCCCACTCCTTTATTTGTGGGCTGATCACTTTTTTATCTCAGAGAACTTTTACTTTGGTCCAACACGTCCAGGCATCGTAGAATTAACTGCCACATCAGTGCAGCAGAAGATAAATAAGGTATAGAAATATGTATATACTGCTCAGACCAGGACACTGGACACGTGGTAAAAGCACTACAACAATTTTTAAATTAATCGTGGCGTTCCTCAACCAAATACAGCCATTTCAAACTGTCAGGTGGGTGAACAATTGGAAAATTTCTCAATGAATAACTCCAAGAAGGTTATTGATTCTGCTAACAAATGTCAGTTTAAAAAAGAAGAGAAAAGAGTACTACAAGACAATGGAAAATAACAGAAAAGAAACCTCTTACATCAGTAGTGG